CACAGGAGCTCTGAAGCACTTCCCAATCCATGGTCAGCCCCAGGTGCAGGACAGGGCAGAGCTGACCTGGCTGTGACTCTGACAGAGTGGCACCTGCTTGGAGTTACCAACCAAACCCAACCTAAACAGAACGCACAATTCCTAAACATTTCCCACTGAATAGAAACCTGTTCTGGAAGCCAAGTGCAAAAACCAGAAGAGGGGTGGGTGATGAAGTGGCAGCTGGGATTCTGTGCCATTTGGAGAATCATGGAATGCTTTGGGTTGGAAGGGACCTTAAAGCCCACCCAGTGCCACCCCTGCCATGGCAGGGACACCTCCCACTGTCCCAGGCTGCTCCAGCCCCAGTGTCCAGCCTGGCCTTGGATATTCCATGGATCCAGGGGCAGCCCCAGCTGCTCTGGCAATCCCAGCCCAGCCAGGAATTCCTCATTCCCAATTTCCCATCCATGGCTGCCCTCTGGCAGTGGGAGCCATTCCCTGTGTCCTGTCCCTCAGGCCTTGTCCCCAGTCCCTCTGCAGCTCTCCTGGAGCCCCTTCAGGCCCTGGAATGTGCTGGAAGCTCTCCCTGGATCCTTCTCCTCTCCAGGAGAACATTCCCAGCTCTCCCAGCCTGACATTGGATCCATCTCCTCTCCAAGAAATTCATGGACCCAGGGGCTTCACTTGCAATCTCAGGAAGCCATGAAGGGTCTCCCTTCCCTTTTCCTCTCTTTTCAATCCCCATTTTCCATAAGAATCCCTCAGGATGGATCCTGAGTGTCCCAAATCCCAGAATCCTGGACCAGTTTGGGTGGGAAGGGACCTCAAAGCTCATTCCAGGGACACCTGCCATGATCTCAGGGTGCTCCAGTCCTTCCTTGGACATTCCAGGGATCCAGGGACAGCCCCAGCTGCTCTGGCAATCCCAGCCCAGCCAGGAATTCCTCATTCCCAAGATCCCATCCATGGCTGCCCTCTGGCAGTGGGAGCCATTCCCTGTATCCTGTCCCTGCAGGCCTTGTCCCCAGTCCCTCTGCAGCTCTCCTGGAGCCCCTTCAGGCCCTGGAATGTGCTGGAAGCTCTCCCTGGATCCTTCTCCTCTCCAGGGGAACATTCCCAGCTCTCCCAGGCTGACATTGGATCCATCTCCTGTCCAAGAAATTCATGGACCCAGGGCCTTCACTTGGAATCTCAGGAAACCATGAAGGGTTTCCCTTCCCTTTCCCTCTTTTCTATCCCCATTTTCCATAAAAATCCCTCAGGATGGATCCTGAGTGTCCCAAATCCCAGAATCCTGGACCAGTTTGGGTGGGAAGGGACCTCAAAGCTCATTCCAGGGACACCTGCCAAGATCTCAGGGTGCTCCAGTCCTTCCTTGGACATTCCAGGGATCCAGGGGCAGCCCCAGCTGCTTTGGCAATCCCAGCCCAGCCAGGAATTCCTCATTCCCAATTTCCCATCCATGGCTGCCCTCTGGCAGTGGGAGCCATTCCCTGTGTCCTGTCCCCCCAGACCTTGTCCCCAGTCCTTCTCCAGCTCTCCTGGAGCCCCTTTGGGAGCTCTGAGCTCTCCCTGGATCCTTCTCCAAGTGAGCATCTCCAGCTCTCCCCAGACTGTACCAGTCCAGAAGGAAATATTTCACTTCTATACTTGCCCCCACATTTTTTTTCTTAATGACAGTTGTCAGAGAATTTGTGTGGCCAACTTCAAGGGGAAAAACACATGGCCATAGTCTTTCTCCTGCAATTTCAGTGGAATGAGACACAAGAATTCCAGCTCTAAACCACTTGCAGCAGGTCCCTTTTTCCCACTGAGGAATAATGTGAGCCTCGTGCTCTGCACTATTTCAGTCCAAATCAAAGGGGTTAATGACAAAGCATCACTCTGATCTTCACACATTTTGAAGGCTATTTAAATTAAATTCTTATGTCGAAAAGTTAGCGTGAGCTAAACTTTTATAAATTCCTTTCTTTTCATGCATATGTTTCTTTGAAGATCTTTTCAGGAAAAAAGATTCCCTAACAAGTCACCCTCCCCCTGCTGCCACTGAAAAATCATCCCTGTGGATAAGGCTGTTGGGAACAGAAACTGTGCAGTGTTCACAGAAGACTGTGTCACATGCCTGCTTTCCACTAACCTGATTGAACAATTAAATTGTATTTCTCTTTAAAAAGGATAAAAAAAAATATATCTATAAAAAATCCAAATGCAGATCTTGCTGTGGTCTGGGATTCAGAAAGATTAATGAGCAACCTAAAAAGGAACAGCAGCTCATAATAGAGACAGAGGTTACTGCATTTTTAACGTGAATTTCAAAGGGAAACTTTTCTTGATGGTTCAACGGCAAAGAATCTCAGCAAAGTCATCTCATCTATTGTCCCCAGTGCCTCCCCACACTGACTTTTTGTCACCTATTGCATCATGTCCAGGCTCTTCCAATTGAGCTGCAAAGGGCAGCAGGATCTTGGCCCTCTCCACACTAATTCCTGTTTTGTCCTTTACTTCTTTGTCAGCTCCTGGGCTTTGTTCTTGCTCACCCCACACTCCCTGAGCAGCTCTGCCGCATCTTCCTCTCCTGGAAATGCTCCCAGTGTCCTGCTCATCCCAAATGCTGCCCCAAGATTTGTCTTGTATCCCTAAAGAATCACTCTTCCATGAAATCTGGCTCCAAACCCACAACAGGAGCTCCTTAAAACCCTCAGTGTAACAGCAATAATTACAAAAATCCCCAAATCTCAGCCACAAGGCACCTGGAAGAGGACATGAATAAGGAGAGGATCAATTCTCTGCTTGTTTTTAAAGCCACGTGGACAGCTGGGAATGACAGAAGGCAACAGGATTCATCCCAAAGGGACAGAAAATTCTGGAGCAAGTGTTGCAGGCTCTCTGATGGCCCCAAAAAGCTCAAACATTCTCAACAGCCACAGAATTCTCGGCTTTGAGCCCACACTTGTCCCACACAGTTTGTAAATAAGGTCATAACTAAGGAGAAGGAACTACTTAAATCCTCCTGGAATAAAACCTGATAATGGGATGGAGCATTAACCTCATCCCACTGATCTGGGGGACATCTCCCAGCCAGTCCTGGACATGTGACACTATTGAAGGTGAGAAGCTGAATCCCAAAAGGCAGAGAGAGCTGGGAGCTTAACACTTCCCAAGTGTGTAAAAGGTGGGATCCCAATTTAGCTGACAGGTACCTCCACTTCCCTTCATTCCCACAGGCTGTAGGATCAGGGGGTGGGCAGCTGTCACCCCAAGGTTCTTCCTTCTCAATCCACCCAGAAGAATCTCTGTCTGAGGTTGGAAGTGGGGATGTGCATTCTATTCCTATCTGATGGGGCAGTTCTCTGCTGTCAATGGGGCAGTTTTTTCTTTATCTCTCCCACAGCCCATCCTCCCTCCAGGAGATCTCTTCTGTGCATGGCCACTGAGTGTCCCTGCATGGCTGAGAAAATTCCATCATCCATGGGGAGATGCTCTGCCCAGGGGAGGAGCCGAGCATTCCTACCTGGATACAATCTGACCTGGGAATAGCACAGCAGCCTTTACCCACTGCATTCCCAGAGGAGCAGCTTTCTTCCCCATTGCATTCCCAGAGGAGCAGCTTTCTTCCCACTGCATTCCCAGAGGAGCAGCTTTCTTCCCACTGCATTCCCAGAGGAGCAGCTTTCTTCCCACTGCATTCCCAGAGGAGCCCAGGCCCATCTCCCCCAGCCCTGGAGCTCCAGAGGAAAACTCCCCCCTTGTCAGGATCCTGCTCCAGCAGAAGCAGAGCTGGCACTGCAGGAGGGCTGAGCCACCATGGGATGGGGCTGCTGCCACCTCCCTGACCCACAGGGGCTCAGGGCATTGCTGACTCTGGCAGTGGGTTGTTTTCTTTTTTGTACCATTGCATTTGTATTTTTAATTTTCCTAGCAAAGATCTTTTATTCCTATTCCCATACCTTTGCCTGAGAGCCCCCTTAACTTTAAAACAATTCAGAGAGATTTCCATTTCAGGGGAGGCTCCTACCTTCCCTAACAGACATCTGTCTTTTCAAACCAAGACACTCTCAGAAATCACCACAGAACCCTGATCATCAGTGCTGAGATCACCTCTGGAGTCACCCAAGTGAATCAAGCTGTCACAAGGGCAATCTCTGCCTCTCAAGGCTTTTTCTCACACCCTTGTGGGTTTAAGTTGTCACTGAGGACAGGTTATGAAAGGAGGAAGGGAACACAAAGGCATCCAAAAACTCTCTTGCAAGTTATAAAACATTCTCAATTAAAAGCCAGCTTAAAATTATCATGGACAAGAGTTCCAGGAGAAATCCTGCCCCAAATTCTGTTATCACTGTAATATTTGAAGAACATAAATTATTTTCCTGTTATGATTAGCCCAGGAAGAAACTGGAAGAGATGACACAAAAGAATTTTAGTCCTGCTGTACATTATCATGGCAGTCTTAGGATATTCCCTTGATTCTGCTGCCAAGCCCAACCACTGGATCATTCAGGAAAAACAAGTGAAATTATGCCAGTCCTGGAGCAGGGAACACTTCCTGGTCACACACAGCACTTGCCATGGGCAATATAAATCAGCAAAAGCAGCCCAAGTCCCCAGATTCACCACCTGCAAATGCTCTGCAGCTCCTCAAGTGTAACAAACACAGAATTGGTCACTTCAGTCCATCCAGCTTCAAATTTGAGCTCAGCTCCCAAAGCAATGCAGTGTAAGTATCACAGTAAGGAAATAAATTGCAGATAAATATCCAAGGTAGCTCCAACACCCAAACTCAGTGTTCCAGGTGAGGTTGTTTGTATTTCACCTTTCATTTTATAAATATTTTTTAAGACCTCGACCTCCAGCTGAGAATGCTGAGAGAATAAAGAGAAACACTTCACAACCACATAATAAACAAGAGCTTAAAACCTGGAGAGGTTCAGGGCAGAGATCAATACCTGCCAGAGGCTGGACAGGATATTCCAGCTCCTGCAGAAGGGAATTATCCAATTATCAAGGATCCCTTTCCATACCTTGCAGCTCCCCACTCCTGCTGTACAGCTCCCTCCTCTGCTCTCTCAGGTAGGCACTCATGCTGATGGCATGGGATGAGGATTCAAACCTGGAATTCAAATAATTCAGTCAATTTCAGGCATTGGAAGCATCCCTCTTGTGAGCACCACTCAGCTTTTAATAATATAAAAATGTAAATATACTGTTCTCCTGGAAATTAGGGACCAATCAATTATTATTTATGGTATGACTCTAATAATCCACAAGAACCAATCCAAATAATTCCCAACTATTTCTGCCCCATCAACAGGATTTTTGGAACTTACAGTAAAAGACCCCAAACTGGGCCTTGATCTGACACCACAGTGATTGAGGACAGAGGACAGTGTCCCATGGTCAAGGGCTGTTGCTCCAGGCAGACATTTCCCCCCAAAAAAACCCAGCCCTGGGTGTTGGAACCCTGGTTACTGAGAATTTTAGACTTTCTGTGCTGTCAGGCACTGACCCCCAAGAGAACATTGCATATGACCTAAGGCCATAGAAAAAGCTTCCAAAATTAATTGATAAAAGTAAGATTATAAGTGTATAGTTTGGATAGAAGTGTGTACTATCACATGGTGGAAAACTTAAGAGTTTAGGGTTTTAGAATACAGTAATATATATAAAGCAAGATAGAAGTTTTAGGGCAGAAGCTGGTCCTTCTTCTTACCTTCTTCGTAAGTTTAGGTAGTATTGTGTAATTTGATAAATAAGTCCTCATTACGAGCCACAAGTAGTTACTTATTGGGTTAAAAGAAATAATTTAAGTGTCATTTCTTAATTAGACAGTTTATCCTTAAAAAAACCTTGTAAAATGAGAGATATGTCTTCATTTTTAGCTTATTTAAATGAAGTACTACAACACTCACAGCTTGTGAGACTGTAATATAGATAAGAACTAATAAACATCTGAGTCCAAACAAGAAATATATCTCACACATTTAATCCTGACCATAGCAGAAAAAAAAGAAGCAAAAAACCTCATTTTTCTGTAAGTGCCTGGATGGGCTCTGGGGACGAGGGAGAAGGGAGCTAGTGGTGGGGACAGAGCACCTTCAAACAGCCCCAGTGGCCATAAATGCCTTGTGAAGGCTGAGCTGGAGCAGAGACTGGGTAGAGCTAAAGAATAAATTTGGGATTTATTCAAAGGATCTCCTCCATGGATCCACCTTGGGCAGCACCAGAGCCCAGCCAGGGCTGCACCCAAATGAACCAAAATGGCCCCAAAATGCATGAGCGCTCCTGGGGGCTCTCCCTGGGATCAGTTCTGCTCCATTGGCACCTTGGAGTTCATTGTCCCATTCCAGCTTTAGCTGAAACACTCCTCATTCCTTCCCCAATCCCACAGCTCAGGAAGATGGAATCAGCCTTGGTGCCACCCAGAGGGGCACTGGGAACACGAGCATCCCACCAGAGACAGGGGAAAGCACCTCACAGCTTTCCTGGGCACTAGTGTTAAGGCTATTACTATTAATGAGGCTTTTCTTCTTTAATTTGGACTGTGTGTGTTAGTGTTATTGCAACTAAACTAATAACTTATCAAAATACAACAAACCCTTCTGATTTTAATTAAATGAGCTGTAAATTCTTGGCTCTGTGTTCCCCACGTGCTCCCTTCTGGCTTCAGGGAGACAATAAGAGCAGCATTATCCCACAGGCCTTTCCAGGCACCAAATCCAGATCTCATCCCTTCTTTTCCACAACCATCCGAGGTTTTGTCCCCCATTTATTTCCCTTCTTTTCCACAACCATCTGAGGTTTTCTCCCCCATTTATTTCCCTTCTTTTCCACAACCATCCAAGGTTTCTCCCCCATTTCCCTTCCTCTGCCACGTCCTCGAGCTGCCCTTCCCCACATTCCTGTTCCCACTTCACTCCTTGTAATTCCCTTCCCAATGCTGATCCTCCCACAAAGCTTTCAAAACATTTTTGTTTTCTTTAGAATTACACAGAATTACAGCCAAGTCTGGGACTGATTTATTGGGTGTTTAACTCTTGCTTGTACAATTCACTCCTGTCTTATTTCCCGAGTTCCATCTTGGAAATCTGAGCTGGCAACCTGAGCATGCCCTTGGCTACTTTTGGGAAGAGAAGAAAGCCAGGTTTATGATGGCATGAATTATCCAAATTCCCAAACTACCCTTCAGCTGGAGCTTTCTCTTTCAAGCCAACATTGCAACTAAATAAATATTATTTTTTATTATACCTGTTTTAAAGATAAGTTTCTTCTAAATACCAGTTCCTGATTTCCAGAGAGCAGGACACAACTTCCCTCTATTCCTTGAAGATATAACTAGCTGAAATATTTTATATTTATTAAATGAGTTGAGTATTTTGTGTTAATTAAATGAGCTCACAGCTACCACAGGACACAGCACCAACACCTGCATCCCCCTGTGAGCAAAACACGAGGTGGAGCCCTGCCCTAAGAGACTGCTGAGGGATGAAATGTAGATTTTGTGGTGAAAGATTTGGACAGAGCTAATGGAAAGGCAGGGAAAGGAGCCTGGCACAGAAAGCACTGAAGATGGAAGGGAAGACAAGAATAACACTCCATCAAACACGTACAAACCTCAGTGGGCTGAGAAATCCCATTTCAAGGGAGATTTCCATAGATATGGTGACAGCTGACAGATAAGCAAATGAGAGATCCCAATAAGTGCTGCTGTCACCGCTCGGTGACAGCGCCTGGAGAGGCGAGGGATGCTGCTCCCACGAGGTGATTCACCTTCCTTTAAACAATTACAGCCACCTCCTCACTGCTGACAAACTCTACCCAGCCTCAGCCTGCTCCAGGTGAGCCACAGCATCCTGATTCCTCCAACTGAAATCCCAAACTCGGTCCTCAAACCCCAAATTTGGGTCCTTGTACGCCCCGGGACAGACATGGGATGAGCTGAGCAGCCCAATTTTGCTCCAATAGCCATCTGCAGGTCAGGTTAAACTCCAAGTGGAATTCTCAGCCCAAAACAGCCATGGAGGGGTTAAAATAAAAGGGTGAGGGGTAAAAATCATGGGTTGACAGGAGAAGGAGGCAACACTTCACCTCTAATAACAGGAGGTTGCAGGAGAGCTCATTCTGGGAGAGCAAACTGGAAGACTTGGAGTTCTAGCTGGGATCTTAGGTACTATGAGAGGACATCTACTGGGAGCACAAAACAGCACTTTTAGGTCCTCTCTGTAATCCTCAAGAGAATGACCAGCACAGACAGGTCGTGGAAGAGAAGAAAATTCCAGCACAGCTCCCCCAAAATCCAGGTGTGACTCTCCTCTCCCACCAGCACTGCTCAGCAACTCCTCACTCCTTATTGCTGCAAAAATTTGCTCTCCCAAATCCTTCCCTTGGCCACCCAGCCTCTCTCATCCTCCTCGCCCTTACACTCTCTTCCCAACCACTTAATTCTTTGCAGCCTGACCGCTGAATTAAAGGAGTTAGTGACAGGATTAAGTGCTTAGTCTATGCAGTAATTACACAGTTATCTTAATTCCCTTTGTCCAGTGCCCTTCATCACTCCCTCTAACAGCTCCTGGATTTACCATGGACAAAGAGAGACAGAATGAATCACTCCATGGTCTGCAGCAGTTCCTGTAATGGGATTCCCAGTCCTGGAATGAGCCCTGGGAAGAGCTCAGCTCTAAAACCCAGCACTGAATCCACAACAGATCTTCGGCTCTGGGCATTAAATCCCCATCCCAGAAGTTCCACACCTCTCACCCTGTGAAACTGCAATTACCAGCAGCACCCCAGGGACCAAAGGCAGCTTAAAAACCCCTGCACTTACTTGAAGAGAGGGTTCTTGGGTCTCTGGGGTTTCTTCTTGGCGAAGAAGGCGGCGAATTCGCGGCCGGAGCTGGCGTAGCTGAGCTGGGCCGAGGGCTCCGAGGCCGTGCGCGTGTTCTTCATGTCCAGGTACTCGGTCAGCAGCATCTGAGGGGAGGAGAGAGCTCAGCACAAGCCACAGCACTGCTGCAGTCCAGAGGGCCACCATCCTCTCAGTGCCACCATGCCATTTCTGAAGGCTTTAAGCATCTGCCCAGCCAGAGTAACATCACTACAAAAAGCTGCAAGTATCTGCCCTTGTCTTCCTTCAGCCCAACCTTTTATCCCCTCACGCTGATGCACTGCACCTGTGTGCCCACTCAGCACACCTGGGCACTCCATGGCTCATTACATTAATACTGCTCACCTGCTCCTCACAGCTGTACCCATCAGGGATGGGGCAGCCCCACCCCCAAATCACCACAAACTCTGTGCCTACACCTTCCCACCCAACCATTCCACGATGAGGCTGAAGCATGTTCTGGTGGTGCCTTGGAATTTTAGCTTTTGCATTTTTCAAATCTTGTGCTGCATTAGTGTCACAGTTGAGACAGACACCATACCCAGAGTATCACCATACCATATCAGAAAGCTTCAACCCATACAGAATAACATCATGTCACTTCAGAAGGCTTCAAACCTTGGCCCTTGTTCTTCAGCCCAACCTTTTATCCCCCTATGTTCATGCAGTGCCCCTGTGTGCCCTCTGTTCCCTGAGTGCCCACTCAGCACACCTGGGCACTACCACAAACCTACAGGAGAGAGCTCAGCAGCTGGGCTGAAACAACATCAGCATATCCCTGGAATGCCTGGGATTTTTAGGTTCTCTGTGGGAAAACAACCAAAATTCACAAAAATTCTAATTGACAGAAATGCAGCTTTATTTTTTAAGGACCGGCTCTAATTTGGTATAAATTTATTTTATATTCCTAAGAATGGGTTGGGAAGGATCTTTAAGATCACCCAGTCCCACCCCTTGCCATGACCAGCAGGTCAGGTTGCTCCAAGTCATGTCCAGCCTGGCCTTGGGCACTTTCAGGGATGGGGTTTTTGACCAACTTAATCTGCTCCAAGTCCCAAAAAAAACCTGCAAAAAGTTCCCAAAAGTGATTCCATCCGTGGCAGCCATGGGGAGAGGGTGAGTGAGCTTTACACACTGATTATAAATATAATTAATGCTCTGAAAAACAAAGGGTTGCAATAGTGAGCAGTGCAGTTAAAATACCTTGATTTATAAATGGATTTATGTGCTTAAATACTTCCAACATATTTATATGGAGAAATAGGAAACATCCATGTGTGTGCTGGGGGTCCCATGTGATAGAAAATACCCTGGAAAGCTCCAAAATTGTCTTTACTAGCTCCCAACCCAAACATGCTTCTTTCATCACTGAAAATATTCATTCCCACAGCTGCCAGTGGAGTTTAGGGTTAATTTTCCAACCCCAAATCGCTCAGTGAGGGGCTGGGGGCTCCCTTTGTGACACAAAGGTTCCCCTTGTGAAACCTTTGCATCCCAATATTTGTTATTATTTAAGGTGCAGAAGTAAAACCAGACTCCAAGTGATTCCATTTTCATTTCCTTGTGTCTGAAGATGAAACGAAAGCTCTCAAAAATGAACTTTTGTCAGTGTATTTCAAAAGTCTGTTTATTTTCAGGAATTTTTACCTACTCAGAGGCTGTTGGGAATGTGTTTCATGTGAATAATTAGCCAGACAAAGCCCATCAAAGAGATTTGGAGGTAATGAAAAGAATTCATCACTCCTGTGCTGCCTAAGTTGAAACAAATGACACAGGAATAAATATCCAAACAAATGGAATTGTGCCCCTAATTAGAAACAATTTGGGATGGCTTGGAAAAAAAAAAATAATACAAACACACAGAAGATCTGATTCTTAAACCATCTCAATTAAAACTTTACCTGAGCATAGGCTTTGAAAATTTGTGTTTATTGGTAAAAATAATCACTGTGCTAATTTTTGACACTAATTTAGCAAACCCGTTTGTATTCACCTATTTGCATTTTATCTTCTCCACTTAAATTAACAACCTGAAAATCGCCACAAAAATCTAATTAAACCCTCAAACTTAATCAAGTTGGGGAAAAAAAGGGAAAAAATTAAGCAATTTGTTCTTCCATTATGGATGAAACCTACTTATGATGGATTCCACGATTCTGGTGTCACTTTATATCAAGGAGGAGGGAATATTATTGTAATCCAGGATTACAATAAGCCAAGAGAGGTTTGGGTTAGGAGCAGGATGAATTATCCCTGTGGGTAACAGGTGAAAGAGAATTGTGAGATGAGTTTGCTCTAAGATACTCAGAAAATGCCAAAATTTTGGGAAAAAATGAGAGAAAAATGTTAATTTATTGTTAATTTACTCAATTAAACTGTTTATTAGACAGGCAGGATGGCTGGATACAAGGCTATGAAAAAGTCAGAAGGTGTAAAAGCTGATTTTGATAATTATGTTCAAAATTCATCAGACTCCAGGATGGTTTGGACTGGGAAGGATCTTAAAGCCCCTCCAGTGCCACCCCAGCCATGGCAGGGACCCTCCCACTGTCCCAGGCTGCTCTAAACCCCAGTGTCCAGCCTGGCCTTGGACATTCCAGGGATGTGGATACCTCTGAGAAGATGAAAGCAGCGAGACAGGAATTGGGAGTGCATTTTTCAGTTAAAAAAATCTCAGTATAGCAGAAACTGGGCCAGGCAGATCAAAGCTCTTTCTGCTCCAGTGCCCTGAATTCAACAGTCCCACAAATTCTTCGGGATGAAATAATTAACTGGAAATGTGGCTGAGCAGTGAGAGGGTACAGCCAAAGGGACGGGACAGATCTCCAGAGAGGATTCAGGGAACCTACGAGCCCCTGGAAGGACTAAAGGGGCTCCAGGAGAGCTGCAGAGGGACTGGGGACAAGGCCTGCAGGGACAGGACACAGGGAATGGCTCCCACTGCCAGAGGGCAGCCATGGATGGGATCTTGGGAATGAGGAATTCCTGGCTGGGCTGGGATTGCCAGAGCAGCTGGGGCTGCCCCTGGATCCCTGGAATGTCCAAGGAAGGACTGGAGCACCCTGAGATCATGGCAGGTGTCCCTGGAATGAGCTTTGAGGTCCCTTCCCACCCAAACTGGTCCAGGATTCTGGGATTTGGGACACTCAGGATCCATCCCAAGGGATTTTTATGGAAAATGGGGATAGAAAAGAGAGGAAAAGGGAAGGGAGACCCTTCATGGCTTCCTGAGATTCCAAGTGAAGGTCCTGGGTCCATGAATTTCTTGGAGAGGAGATGGATCCAATGCCAGGCTGGGAGAGCTGGGAATGTTCCCCTGGAGAAGGGAAGGATCCAGGGAGAGCTTCCAGCACATTCCAGGGCCTGAAGGGGCTCCAGGAGAGCTGCAGAGGGACTGGGGACAAGGCCTGCAGGGACAGGACACAGGGAATGGCTCCCACTGCCAGAGGGCAGCCATGGATGGGAAATTGGGAATGAGGAATTCCTGGCTGGGCTGGGATTGCCAGAGCAGCTGGGGCTGCCCCTGGATCCCTGGAATGTCCAAGGAAATGTTGGACACTGGGGCTGGAGCAGCCTGGGACAGTGGGAGGTGTCCCTGCCATGGCAGGGAAGTGGAATGGGATGAGCTTTAAAATCCCACCCAAAACCATTCCATGATCCAACACAGCACATTTGGCTTCAAACTGCAGCATGAAAATGAAATCCCTTTTGATTTCCCAGCAATATTAACTCACGGGCCAGGCTGAAAATCCTGGCAGCTCTTGGCCTCCAAAAACAGCCTCAAGTTTCCTTCTGTCCCTGCACTGAGACATTCCTGGTGCTCCCCCAGTGTCACCAGTGTCACCTCCATGGATTCCCCGTGGCTCACAGTCCCAGCTTCCCACTTTTCTGCTCTCATCGTCCTCATGGAGGACTTTAATCCATCTCAAATTTCAGTGTTACAAGCCGTGCTCTGGCCCTGCACTTATGAAAAAACACAAGACAGAACCTGAAAATCCACTTTAAAAGCAAGAAAAACTCAGATATTAAAAATATTCCCTTAAAAGCCACCCAAAACCACCTCCATTTTAATCCTTAGACTGGGCACTTGTTACTGAGCCAGGGTCCCTTTTGTGGCAGTTTGGGTAAAAGTTGTGCTTTTGAAGTAATTTTGAGATTTGTTCCTTCCCTTCCTCCCTCCCTGGAGGGAGATGAAAATTCCCAGGTATACAGTAATTCCCAATTAGGGTTGATAATGAGGGGAGCACTGACAGCATTATCTGCAGAGTTTGGGAGGGATTTTTTTACTCTTTCCCAAAAAATAAAAAAAGGAATTCTTCTTGTACAGGAGTAGAATTGTGAGGTGCCTTTAAAGAATTAATTCTGGAAGGGATTTTATTATTATGTTTCAGTTAAATGAATTGGAGGAGCAACAAGAAGATTAAAAAGCGGGCTGAGCTGCTTTACAGGTGTTCACAGCCCCTAGAAATTTTAAGTTTTGTTCCTTCAGACTTCCCTTATTGCTTCCCCTTTGGTGTGTTTGCCAGGTGTGTGCTCAGCCCATGTTCTCCGTGTGATAAAACTGACACAGGAAGCTCAGAACTCTTAGAATTCAATTAACTCTTCCTCTTTTTTTTTTTTTTTTTTTTTTTTTTTAATTGAAACGACACAATTCCTGCAGCATTTTAATTATCAAGACTTTTGATACAGCAAATTACTGGTAATTAGCTACAGACTGCTGCCTCACTGAGCTATTCTTGCCTGGTGCTGGCACTTTGTGAACAGTTCTCCTGTCTGCAGAGCTTGTGTCTTGGTGTGAAAATGCAGGTGTCTGCTAAGGAAGGCAGGAGCCTCCCCTGAAATGGAAAATGTAAACCCTCTCCCTCTGAATTGTTATAATTTTGAAATTAAGGGGCTCTCAGGCAAAGATATGGGAATAGGAATAACAGTTCTTTGCTAGGAAAATTAAAAATACAAATGCAATAGTATAAAAAAGAAAACAACCCACTGCCAGAGTCAGCAATGCCCTGAGCCCCTGTGGGTCAGGGAGGTGACTGAAGCCACCATTTAATGGGACTTTTAATTAAACTTCCAGACTGCTCTTGTG